CACACAAACACACACACGTGCATGCACGTCGCTGTATAAGTGCAATAATCTTGGACGCGACGTTAAACCCCATTTCACCTCACCTCACCTGTGCCATATAGCACCTGTTTACATACAGCTGGTTGAAGTTTGCATATAGCTATTGATCAACCGAGAGCACTCAGAGTGATTAATTATAAATTTTCTTATATGAAATTAATTAACCCCTGAACGTCTTAATAGCTAGGGTCGTTAAACAACATCCAGTCACCGAATCACTCGCTCACGTATTTACTTGAAATTAGACTACAGAGAAGTGGGATAAAGCTTAAATCTCATTCAGCCTTGATGAAAGTATATTTCAGAAGAACATAACTTGTTTACTCTACAGCGTGTGTGAGTGAGTAAGTTGGGTTTAACTCCGTTTTTAACATTATTCCAGTTATATCACGGCGTGTCAGCTTAATGTGGGAGGAAAGCCCGAAGTGATGCAGGTCTCAGACATTTACCACTTCGGTCAAACCCACAAGCACGGGTATGGTGCTGACAAACCTAGAAACATAATCGTAGCGAACCGGGATTCGAACCCACAATCATAGGTTTCTGGCGTGCCCAAGGGACGCAACTCTGCACAGCGAATCACGGCGCCTTAGACGACTGGGCCACCCGTGCACCCACATCATGTGTGATGTTAGTTTTGTGAGTGTAGAAATATAGGATTGTTTGCTGCGAAGACATGTATTTAAATACTTTCCAAAAAGGTCATGTCTCCAGTTTAATTTCTTAACGCAACGTTTGAGTTTAAGATAACATTTGAAAATCTATTATTTTAGTGGTGGTAGTATGTTACTCAGACCCTGAAACAAATACAGCTCATGCAAGTCTATGAGGGTTGGCAAGTCTATACCACTTCACGCTACGTCACGATCGGGCCCCTGTCGTTATGCAAGTACTCTCTACATGTCAACCATAATTTTGGTACCGGGTTTTCACAATTATTTTCCATTAAATACACAATCACGCAACGAAAGTTTGTTATTATCGGATAATAATTGATCAAACTAAAAATACCGGTTTTGTAGAAAAGAATATTTTTTTCTTTATTGTTATCCTGTAATTGTGTGACTGTCAACATGTATGGGCGGACATTCGGTCAAAAAATACAAATACAAAGCCGATCAAACTCGGAATGTTTTACAAATTGCAGCGCCATCTGGCGTTCTTTATTGTCAACGTCCTTTCGTGCTCACTGACGTTCTTTATTGAAAATGTCCTTTCGTGCTCTCTGACGTTCTTTCGTACACACTGTTCTTTCTTTTCTTATGACGTCTTTTCGTAACATTTGACTATTAATATTGTATTTTTACCTTTAGTAGTAACATTTAGTTCTTTATTCGTAATATTTGACCTTAATTGCGTACTTTTGTCCTTTTTTTAAACTTTGTATTTTTTTCTTTGAGTGGCATTTAGAAGTTGGAGTGATGAAGTAAGACGAGTTCTATGGATGAACAACTTCTTTATTACAATTAGTGCGACGTTTCGGTGTAGATCCTAACACATTTATCAAGCAAGTGATGGATAGGGCTAAACAACATAGGTATATATACACTTATTGACATCTAAGTTGTTACAGTGACTAATTGATGGACACAGAGAGGTGATTAAGCTAATTGGAAGCCAGTGGATGACTAATGAACACAGAGTATACTAGCAGAGTAAACAAGCATGGTGCTGGGTCTCTGGCGCACACTCTCCGTCCCACAGATGCTCTATAGGGTGTGTGTGTGTGTGTTACAGAAAACATTTTTCCTTATGAAAGTTAACTTAAATATAAACTGAATAACCTTATTTGACCACCCACCCCCACCCCCCACCCCCCTGTCAAAAAAAAGGTTAACTACGGCCTTGTTCCAGCAATATAACTGTGGGGATCACAGGAAATGGTTTCAATACATTTTTAACACATCTTTTGGAGGAATCGAACCCAGGCATTCGACGTGACGAGCGAACACTTTACCTTCTGGACTACCTGACCACCCAAATTATGGAATGCACAGGGGCATTCCTCTGACACGAATATTATATAAAACCAATAGTGGTGCAGCTTTCATACAGGTCACACGTCAAATAAAGATGAACAAAACCCTTGTCAATAATCATAAGAACTTCTAAAATCAGAGTCCATTCTACGATTTAGACTATATCATAAGCATGTGTTTATGAATTGGTATCAAATAGTGATGATGAAAAGTGTTCAAGAAAAGGTGAGCGTATCCTGCCCGACCGGTGGCACCTGTCACAAACACATGCAAAGGCAATTCAGTGGTTCATCTGCAAAGAAACAACACGGGAGCATATGGTCCCCGTGTTATGTGTTAACAGACGCTTAAGTAACATTCTCATTTTCTCGCTAATCACAAGAACTGATGTAAACCATCTCACTCATGTAGAAAAGACGACTTTATTTTAACAACAGGTCATCATCTGGGTATTTGCAAAGTCTGTGTGACGCCACATCCCTTGTTATAGCGCAAGTGATCTCAATAACCATGGCCGTCCGAAAACCTATGATTCGAGCGTATCCTGCCCCGCCGATGGTACCCGTCACAAACACATGCAAAGGCAAGATAATGGTTCACCAATAAATAAACTCGAGAGCATATGGTACAAGTGAAAATAGGGAATTATGAAACATAAGCTGAGAGTAGGTGGATGGGTGACTGTTCGGCAGCTTTATTCCAGGTGAGGTGAGGTGAAATGGGGTTTAACGTCGCGTCCAAGATTATGGCACTTATATAGCTACGTGCATGTGCGTGTGTGTGTTTGTGTGGCTGCTTGTACTAGTCCGGACTTATGCCGATTTATAGTGCTAGCTCAGTGAGATACCATGCCGCAGCTTAACATGAATATCCCACTCAGACACAGTATACTGATTCCGAGCCGACCAGTCCTTGTTTTAGACCCTTAATACCGAGCGTCAGGCAGGGTGACAACACGTACCATCTTTTAACGTCTTTTGGTATGACGTACGCGGCCGGGGATCGTACCCCGGACCTTCCGTTCTCCGGGCAGACGCTCTACCATTAGACCACGGAGGCGGTCGCTTTATTCCAGAGATTGTCTAGAACTGCCCCACACCGAAATATTTTACATGTGATATCTCCTTAGGCAAGACACTTTGTTCGAACTATGCCTCTGTCCGTTCATTAGTAGGAAGAGATTGTAATGCGACTGCAAACATTCTCCACCTCATATGTCAGCGTGAGTTGTATACTCCTTAGGGAGCTGAGATTGAAATTTGAATGCACACTGATTAAAAAGACGGAGGTAAATAATTCAGCAACAGGAGCATCCATTTATTGAAAGTAATCTGACACTTTATAAATTCCTACCGACTAAAGTTCAAATAAGAATATGTAGATTTCTTTGTCAACATACCCCAACAATGGTCTTGTATGCTGAGTAACCCAGTGCTCATTGCAAGATGAAATGTCAACACAGCGAGTCGGTGTGTTGTATTACTGATTCAACACAAGGGGGTCTGGGAAATACATCCTTGACCCAGGAGACAGCGGAGTTAACGCCCCGACCCACCCTATTTCTGTCAGTGCCGCACTTTTAACATGAATAGATCATGAGATGAAATTGGGTTTAACGTCGCGTCCAAGATTATTGCACTTATATAGCGACGTGCATGCACGTGTGTGTGTGGCTTCTTGTACTAGTCCGGACTGATGCCGATTTATAGTGCTAGCTCACTGAGATACCGTGCCACAGTTTAACATGAATACCCCACTCAGACACAGTATACTGACTCCGAGCCGACCAGTCCTTGTTTAAGCCCCTTAATGCCGAGCGTCAGACAGGGTGACAACACGTACCATCTTTAAACGTCTTTTGGTATGACGCCGCCGCGGGATCGAACAACTGGCCTTTCATCTCCGGGCAGACATTCTATCTACTAGACCAAAATGTATACAGCTGACAGATTCAAGTTACAATGAATATGTGATCTTCTATCAAACTGGTACCAAAATTAATATTTCATAAGATTTATTTCTTCACATTTACAAATGTAAACGCATTGTAACCACCAAACGGGGCACGCGTGGCTCGGTTGTCTTAAGCGCGCAAGCAGCTTTGCAGAGTTGCGTTCCTTAACCGTTCAAGCGTGCTATGCTCGTGGGTCCCCATCCAGATTTTCCTTTGGTCTGTCAGAACCCTGCCCGTGCTCGTGTGCCCTTGGTCTGTCAGAACCCTGTCCATGCTCGTGTGCCCTTGGTCTGTCAGAACCCTGCCCGTGCTCGTGAGCCCTTAGTCTGTCAGAACCCTGCCCGTGCTCGTGTGCCCTTAGTCTGTCAGAACCATACCCATGCTCGTGTGCCCTTAGTCTGTCAGAACCCTGCCCATGCTCGTGTGCCCTTAGTCTGTCAGAACCATACCGTGCTCGTGTGCCCTTAGTCTGTCAGAACCCTGCCCATGCTCGTGTGCCCTTAGTCTGTCAGAACCCTGCCCATGCTCGTGTGCCCTTAGTCTGTCAGAACCATACCGTGCTCGTGTGCCCTTAGTCTGTCAGAACCCTGCCCATGCTCGTGTGCCCTTAGTCTGTCAGAACCCTGCCCATGCTCGTGTGCCCTTAGTCTGTCAGAACCATACCGTGCTCGTGTGCCCTTAGTCTGTCAGAACCATACCCATGCTCGTGTGCCCTTAGTCTGTCAGAACCCTGCCCATGCTCGTGTGCCCTTAGTCTGTCAGAACCATACCGTGCTCGTGTGCCCTGGGCGCCAGAACAATATCCGTGTGTCCTTGGTCATTCAGAACCATACCGTGCTTGTTTGTGTCCCTAAAGGGAAAATAAGACAGATCCGCGTCCCTTTGCACCCCACTCACATATTCACTCAAACACAAACCGGATACTGAGGGTGAATAAATATTATCCCCCACCCCGTAGACACGCCCCCCTACCCTGTGACTACCCTGCAATCTACGCCACGCTCTGGTTCACGCCCCTGACGTTATGCAAGTTTACTCTACAAGTACCTGGATCCCCTTGCGCGGGCACGGCAGTCTCAGCGAGCAGGACAGCAGACATGGTGGGATTTGTCAGGACAGCGATCGTCGTCATCTGTGTGGCGTCATCTGTCTTGGCACAGTCTGACGGCACGAACCCAAAGTAAGTTATAATAATAATCTACAGTGAAACATCGTTATTGCAGTCTTCGTTAATCCGGAAATCCTCTTCCTGGACATTCTTGTTGGAGACCGTCCATTTAATCTTCGGTATCGAAAAATATATTGTCGCAGAAGGAATTTGCTTGAAAAAATAACTATGTTTCAGACTGTTATGAAAATGTCTGCTACAAAGAAAATATTGTTGCAAGATGATATTTTAACAAATATTTTGGCTCATAGCGTTTCTTAAAATCGTACAATCGACTCTGTCTTTAGCAGATACTTCTGCCAGTCCAGATTTCTGATGCTTATGGGAAGTGTTTCGTTGCTTTTATTGCAGCCCCTTGAGTAGCCCTGATGCAATGCTTGTCAATGTCCAAATATCAATACATTTTTATACACTTATTTTATGTACTTGTGATCCCATGTCGATTCCCCATTGTGAAGCCCACTTCTGGCGTTCCCCGCCGTGATTGCTAGAAGATTGCTAACAGCGGTGTAAAACCATACTCACTTCCTCTAACCCCAAGAAGATTGCCAGGACTGAATAGGTCCACATAACCCCTTGTTTGAGGTTAGAGTTGACTAAAACTAGGATCTGATGGTCACAATGTATGTCCTCCCTGACTGTGTGACGTCATGACCCGACAACTTGGCTTTTTGTTCTTGTTATCAATCACTGGATTCACTGAACCATATTTGATCATGTACAGGTCACAGCTGTATTATTTAAAAGAAAAGAAGAAAACAAAATGAAATTATGTAAAATAAACAAACTCTGAAATATTTTATGCAAACACGATGCCCATTAGAAAGTGGTCAAATGTAACAAATGTTATGTTTAAGATTAATCATTTTAGTTAAGGCGTTTCCCCGACAAACGAATTTATACATTGTATAAATGTATACTCGTTTCCATAAACCTTTACCATTTAATATGCCTTGACAAATTTGTCTGATCACAACACAGATATATCGAACATTAAGTATGGTAATATAGAAGAATTGGGCGTTATATTTATATACAATATATTTTTTAATAGAAGTTTCCTTTATGCATGAGAGACACTCACGCACTCACTCACTCACTCACTCACCCACCCACCCACTCACTCACTCACTCACTCACTCTGTTCTTCAGTAACTGCCCCTACGCCTGCCAGATATCGGAGAGATATACCGAGGGATGTGGTTGGCTCAACTGGTCCAGATGCTCCAAATACAGGTAAGTATGGAATGCTGAAAAGGACATTCTCGCAATTTTACCATTGTCGACTTTTTAGTGTCCACTAAAAGTCGAGAACGCGCCAATATCCCCGACAACCATTTATACATTAATAACTTGTACAGCCTAGAGAGATAATAATTTGTACAGTGATACCATTAATACAGAAGTCGTATTTTCTGGACAACTATTGTGAAAGTAAATAAATGTAAATAAATCTTGTACAGTTCTTTCAGAAGGAAATGCATACCCTGTAGCAGATATTGTATGACATTTACATAATCTGTAGCTGATATTGTATGACATTTACATAGCCTCTAGCAGAACTTGTATGACATTTACATACCCTATAGCAGATATTGTATGACATTTACATAGCCTGTAGCAGACATTGTATGACATTTACATAGCCTGTAGCAAACATTGTATGACATTTACATAGCCTGTAGCAGATATTGTATGACATTATCATAGCCTGTATGATATTTACATAGCCTGTAGCAGATATTGTATGACATTATCATAGCCTGTATAAGATATCGTATATCATTTACATGGCCTGTAGCAGATATTGTATGATATTAACATAGCCTGTAGCAGATAATGTATGACCGTTACAAAGCCTGTAGCAGATATAGTATGAGATTTGCATAGCCTGTAGCAGATATTGTGGGACATTTACATAGCCTGTAGCAGATATTGTATGTAATTTACCTACCCTGTAGCAGACACTGTATAACGTTTACATAGCATGTAGCAGATACTGTATGACATTTACATATCATGTAGCAGACACTGTATGACATTTACATAGCCTGTAGCAGATATTGTATGACATTTACATAGCCTGAAGCAGATATTGTATGACATTTACATAGCCTGTATGACCGATACTGTAACATCCATGTAACATATATTGAATTATTTACCTTGTAGGTATTGCATGACATGTACACATTATGGATTATATGCACAACTACCAGTACACACTATGGATTATATGCACCACTACCAGTACACATTATGGATTATATGCACAACTAACAATCGCTACGCAGTATTGCTCGATGTGACGTATACCCTTAGTCTCCCCAACTGTCTCGCAACATGCATCACACGTGACTGTGGGTGGTACTACTTCCAGGATGAAGACGTCCATCTGCTACAAGCCGTGCGCCACAACAGCAACACCATCAACAACGACACCAGAGTGCATTGAGTACCCCTGTCTCATGTTCCACGACAACTTCGACACACTGGACTTCAAAGTGTGGGAACACGAGCTGACGGCTGGTGGGGGAGGGGTAAGTCGAACACTGATGTGTCGAATATCCTAACCTACCTCTACCGTTACTCGGACGACCCATGCTGTCGTCTAAGGCCTTGCAACGCCCAGTGCAGAATTATGTGCCCTAGCCGTGCCAGGATCCACTGCTCCGTAGTTTGACAGTACCGTATTTCAAATATGGCTCCGATTCAGAAAATTTCCGATTTTCTTTATGGCAAAATTGACAAAACTTGTTTGTCATTAATAAATAACCTTTTTTAGAATACAAAACAAAAAATGAAAGAGTCCCTCCTGTTACCGTAGGTAAAACTAATTTTTGAGAAAAGTAGACGTCACAAAATAAGTTACTAAAATGGAAAGGTTTATCTGTGCTATGATTCATAACAATGGTATTGTGACAAGTCTACTGCTGTAGTTCTCGCGAGATACGTATATAATTGTCGTAACATGAGCTAAATGGTACATCTTTCCACGTTTCTGATCATGCTTCTGTCTATAGCATCTCGGCTTCTCAGCAGCTGAGAGAACCAAGACAATCTGGAAAACAAGAACCTTATTTTCCCAAGAGTCCATGCAATGTGTACCAATTCCCGACCAAACCAGACATTAAAGTTTAAATAACTGGTCAAATTGTGCCTGGTGTTATATTAGTGAAGTAAAATATGATCATGTGACATGAACAGCGTATTTGAAATGTTTGACTCAAACCTACACACACATCGTGAAAAACTTAATTTGTATTAATTAAACTGTATGTGAAACTTTAACATTTAACAAGGAATTCATTCCTAAATTACTCAATAACCCTCCAGTTACTTAACTGGTCCCGGATGTTACTAAGTTTATGTTACAGCAGGGACAGTAACAAAAGGGAAGTATCATGTTATTTTACATCTAAGCCAAGTTACTCTCTCTGTGGAATGGAAGAGCCTGGCATTTTCACAGTTAACTATGACTTATCTTAACAAGTAACCAAGAATGCCAACAAGTTGGTAAATATGTCAAAATTGTTGGAAACATAAGGGACACAGGGTACTTGTGAACTTGAAATGAACGCTTAACTTCCCTTCATCATTGATACGGCAGGAAGTACAAATGTGATTCCCGTTTAAAGATGGAATTGTCGGATGCATTGGAAATGTTCATTGCCTTTATTTTGATCTGGGTAACAAGATGTTTCTGCTCAAAATTGGGAACATGACCTTTTTATTATTTGTCGGTACATTGTGTTATTAATCATCAAATATTAATCACATATTGCATATTTTGTTGTTACAAAGTTGAAAAAAATGTTTATAAATACCTAAACTTTTGTCTTATCAATTAATATTATTTATTACCCGCTGGTTGAAGAAGAACTGGAATTCAGATTTTTTCTGAGAATTTCCCATAAGCGTCATAAACGTATAATGTCTTTAAGATTTTTCCATCATGACCTTGACCTTACACGACGTAATGTAACTGAAATACTGTTCAAAGTGACGTCAATCCAAGCTCACTTGCTTCATAAGAAAACTGTTGATATATCCTTAACACGATCGTGTTTCAGAACTGGGAGTTTCAGTTCTACACCAACAACCGCACCAACAGCTACGTCCGCGATGGCGTCCTCTACATCAAACCCGTGAGTCGACGTACACATAGATTGCCTTCCCTACTGTTGTTATATTCAATACCTGTCGTTCTCACATGCAACGCACACATCTATGCCATTCCGTAAAGCTTAGTACAGCGGCTCTCGTATGCGAAGGTGTTTGGAAGTTTTGTTGGAGGCAGAACATTTTCGGCCACATCTATATTTAATTTTTCTGAAAGACAATTGTTTCTTTTCTGAAAAGTGGAGCCATACGCTAATATGTTCTTCAGTCCATACATTAACAATAATATTATTTAGTCTATACCTAGTGAGTGAGTGAGTGAGTGAGTGAGTGAGTATCGTTTTACGCCGGTTTTAGCAATATTCCAGCAATATCACGGCGGGAGACACCAGAAATGGGCTTCACACATTGTACCCATGTCGGGAATCGAACCCGGGTCTTCGGCGTGACGAGCGAACGCTTCAATCACTAGGCTACCCGACCGCCCTAGTCTTTACCTAGAGTTGCCCGTCTGTATAAGCAGGGCGAAACGAGATTAACGTGAGTTGCAACTGTGTTGTGTCTGTTGCAGACGTTGACGGCGGACCAGTTTGGCGAGGCCTTCCTCACATCCGGAAAACTTGAACTGTGGGGTAATGGCAGCGATATTTTTTGTATAAATAATCGAGTCTGGATCAGACAAACCATGATTGGATACAATGGCGTCTGACCACCCGATCCACGTAGTCGCCTCTTACGTCAAGAATAGATTACCAGAGAACAACTCGGATATGTTCAGGGGGCATATGGGTGCGAGGGATCATTCGGAACAACACTTTGTCGAGTAGGTCTCAAACACACTTGACTTGTTGCAGAGACGATTAAAATGATGACCCAATGGTTTGTTTGTTGTTTAACGCCGCGCTCAGCATAATTCCAGCTAAATGACGGTGGTCTGTAAATAATCGAGTCTGGACCAGACAATCATGTGATCGACATCATGAGCATCGATCCACGCAATTGGGATACGATGACATGCATCAACCAAGTCAGCGAGCCTGACCACCTGATTCTTTAGTCGCCTCTTACGACAAGCATAGCCGCCTTTTACGACAAGCATGGGTTGCTGAAGAACTATTCTACCCCGGATCTTCACAGGTCTGACCCGGTGGTGGTAAGGTATGGCTCGGTTCATGTATGTCAATTTACCTCCGCAGACACCGGAAATGTAGCTGCACCCATTGTATCCATATAGGGAATCGAACCCGGGATTTCAGCGTGATTAGCGAACGCTTTAACCACTAGGCCACCCCGCAGGCCTATGTGGTAGTGGCAAAGGGACGTGATTACTGACAATACAACGGTGAGGATGTTTATGTCAATGAACGTTAACTTATTTTCTATATAAGCCGGTATGTGGTTTGAATCATGCAAAAACCGCGTATTACCTCACTCACTCTGTATATTCCAGGTGGAGGCCCTCACGACACCTGTACCGGCAACGCCTTCTACGGCTGTGAGCGCACCGGCAGCAACGCCAACATCATCAACCCCATTCAGTCCGCCCGGCTCCGGAGCTCCAGGGGTCTGAACTTTAAATACGGCAAGGTGGAAATATCGGCTCAACTCCCAAAGGGAGATTGGTTGTGGCCCGGTACGTAACTCACACATCATATATCACTCCTCACTGTTGTTCGAATAAAACCTTCCCTAGATCGCAACCGGACGCGAAACATTTGCCTGTCACACATATCATTCATGTGTTCACTATTGCTCAAAACATCATACACCCGAGGCAATTCGCGCTCTGGCCACTTTCGGGGGATCTAGTTTTGATGAGTATTATTTTACTAACTGAATTCCAAAGTGAAACGCCAATGTTAACTCAAAATTTAGTTGGTGCAGAACTATATTGTGAAATCATTAAATGACCACACAAGATCAATGTGAAATCAATAAAGGACCACACAAGATCACTGTGAAATCAATAAAGGACCACACAAGATCAATGAGTAATTAACGAATTATATTGAAATACCCAGTTTCAGGTTTCACAAAAGGCAATACATAATTTATTTATGTCGGTGCACAAACGAATTTTCAGCAGTTGTCACCTGCCTCCGCCCTATCTGGAATGGTGTTGAAAGTTGGCGGGATTTCGGTGTTTTCAAAAAGGTATCCAATCGGCACCTGGCAGATAGATAAGACGCACAGTACGGCAGGTCGTAAAAGGCCTCGAATCGTCCTCGTGTCGCTCTTATATAGGTTCAGCTAGCCTTCTAGACCTGTCTCATTCTGAAACTTCTCGGACGATCAAGTCTGTCATGTGGCTGCTGATTTCAGTAGAAAACTCTGGCCAGCACTTGACGTTTTAGCAAGGCTTCAATCATTTGCTTCCACTGAAAGCTACTACATATAAAGTCACAACAGTCTCTACTTCCATATTATATAATTACCTTATGATTACAGCATTGTATTGACACATTGTTTCATTATCATTGAAACATTCTGAACAAACGTAGTCACTAGTCACTTCTACCCATTCATGTCACGTGATAAGACAATATTAGTGGTCTCTGGTGTACTTCACCAACTCTCATTACATATAGCATATATTCTACCATGAATTTGGAATTCACTCGATTCTGATTGGTCAATCAGAGGTTGTCAAATCACAATAAACCCTCTCTGATTGAAACAGCCCATTTGACCGGCGCATCACCACGGAAGCTAATATTCATAGAAAAGTACTTTTTTCAGTCATTGTCGGTAGGCATAAAAAAATATATCTACAATTATAAGTTACAAAATGCAAAGTTGCTGTTAATATAATATTCAAAGGATGGGTGGTAATACATCTTCAAAGAGAATGTATTTTAAGTTTTGAGGACAACAGAGAACTTGGAATTTGTCGCTTTTCTATATACAACTGTGACGTCATATCTTGTGCGTCACAATTAGGAGATAAACATACTGTGTTTTCAATGTAGAGCAAGGTTACCTGTAGATTTAACCGCGCTAAACTGAGTTTGGAACCGAACACGCAGGCAGTTTTGGGAGCCAGTTGTGGATGATAAATTAGTTTCCGCGGTGATGCGGCCGTCAAATCAGGTGTTTCAATCAGAGGGGGTTTATTGTGATATAATAGCCTCTGATTAACCAATCAGAATCGAGTAAATTCCAAATTCATGGTTGAATGAGCGATATGGCGTCATAATGGTGATGAGCGATGTAGAACTTGCTTAGTTTTCTTTAAGGGTGACCACCTCATGTTAGCTTACGAACTTGCCGTGCTACATGCTTTTTAGTGCCTAGCATAAGTTCGTGTGAAGTATCACGGTGTAAACAAACTGCTTGAGCATACAGAGCGCCATATTTTGTTTAAAGGCTATGGTCGGTGATTCCTAAAGTTCTGATCAACAAAACACTGGACTCAACCCATTCCGCTTCACTCAATATATTTTGTAACACCACAGAGGTCGCGTTATATTTAGCCATGGTAGAATGGAGATAAATCTACAGGTAAGCTAGCTCTACATTGAAAACTCAGTATGTTAATCTTCTAAACCAACCTCCTAAAAGTGAGCAATAATACGTATGTATGTATGCTGATATTAAAATGTTGACACAGAACGTGTCAAACAAGGTCAGTTCCAAGCAAATATATTACCTGCTCACAAAGTACGTTTGTACACCCAAAACCATTGTCCTCACCAAGACCACCAGCCCGGCGTAAAAGTAATATGTGTACATTTATGATCAAATTTCACATCGCCGTTTGGGGAGGTACGCGTCGATGACATGCACACTTATCGCTTACATTCCCTGCAGAAAACTATGTTTAGGGTGCGACCCTGTTTTGGTGGTTGCTGATGGCCGGGACATTAAAACAATTCGTTATATCCCTCAGTTCGTTATAAGCGTGTTCGTTATAAACGAATGTTACTGTATGTGTATTGCACATTACCATTATGTTGTTAGTTGTTCAGTTTTATTTTTAACGAAACCCCTAAATTAATAGAATGTGTTGGAAATATGTCACAATAATGAAAGAGAGACCCTCAATGGTCTACCGGTCTTTTTCCACATGGTTCCAACGGTGTAAATGTTGATGCATCGTATCAAATCTTTTCTTGTTACTTACTGATAAAAACTTTTTTTAAATCATGAACACTCATTGCCTTTTAGAAAGTGGTCAAATGTAACAAATGTTCTATTTGCGATCACACTTTCTTTGTGAAGGACACATTCCAGTACTTTTTAGGGTTGAGTTTAATTACGGGAATTGAACCCACACTCTCGGAGAGAATCACCAGCACACAAAGTCAGCGATTTGATCCAGTCAGCGATCTAACCCACTCAGCCACCGAGGCTTCAAATAAAATAAAAGTCCCACAACTGGTAGTGTAGATCAGTTACGTTGTGTACCCCTCTGAAATAAGTAACATGGCCCAGTTCCCATTGTCGAAAGCTATGGATACACAAGGCCTTTTAAAATGTTATCAGATGTAACAAATGTTATGTTTGGGATTACACTAACGCGTTCATAACGACTTCGAAACGATGACGGTAACGTGGTTCTAGCTTGTTCACCACGCCCCAATCAGCGGACCCGTCATATTGGTCTAACATATGTATAATCATTTTAACAAAATATATACGACTGACCCGACGTTTCTGGGAAAATCTTCATTACAAAAGGTTATCCACCTGCTGAATTATGACAATAACATCACATCCCTAGCTGCCATGGTGTCGCAAATGTTCGACCGACGAAGGTCGACACTTGCTTATATATAATTATGTACATTACTTACTTATTTATTAACAATTTCACACCCTTTCAGCATACGTGATAGATAATTGTCATTGTTACCTTTATATATTTTAAAACCAACATCTTAAACTATATTTTAACAGACATTTATTGAATTGTAGTGTCTCATAGGCCAATCTTGTCAGACACATTTATAGGTGTGTGACACTTTAATAAAATATCTTCTTCTTCTTCTTCTGTATATAAAATGGTCATCTGTGTCAGACACGTGCACACGCGCGCACGCACTCCCGCACACACACATGTGTATATAAAATGGTCATCTGTTTCAGCCATATGGATGCTGCCGACGTACACGGAGTATGGCCGTTGGCCGGCGTCCGGCGAGATTGACATCATGGAGAGCAGAGGCAAATATTACCATACTGAATGAAAACCTTTCTTCCAAATCCCAAACATAAAACAAGTACATGTATTGGATTAAGTCTTGGACATAAACTGGTCAATGAAATTAAAACATCAGCTTCGAATTCATAGCACAGACTTGCATACCACAAATGTATTGATATATCTATAAACGCTGAATATCTCTGTATCCAGTGTTTTAGTTCAGTTAAAATCGGGCGGGGGGTGGGGGTGGGGTAGTTATTAGGGTTGTAGGTTCCTATGTTCTGTCACGGGGATGTTCCTCCAGTCTCCGCCTCCGTGGTCTAGTGGATAGGTGTCCGCCCTGAGAGCGGAAGGTCCGGGGTTCAATCCCCGGCCGCGTCATGTCAACAGACGTTAATAGATGGTATTTGCTGTTACCCTGTCTCGCGCTCGGCAGTAAGGGGCTTAAACAAGGCGAGGAGCCAGTTTACTGTGTCTGAGTGGGGTATTCATGTTAAACTGTGGCATGGTATCTCAGTGAGCTAGCACTATAAATCGGCATCAGTCCGGACTACAAGCAGCCACACACACACATGCACGTCGCTATTAAGTGCAATTATCTTGAACGCGACGTAAACCCAATAGCACCTCTCGAAATACATATAATCCATTCCAGTCGTTATAATGCTGAACAATGTCAACAACAATCTTAATTACTCCCTGTCAGTTTACCTAGGCCAGGGGTCTCAATGCACAGCATATTATATTTTCAAACAAATATTGACAGTTTAGATTATGACTGGGAATCTTCGCCCCTGAAATGACAAGGCGGTTTAATTTGTGTTCATCCACACAGGTAACCGACACTACTACGACGCGAATGGTCGCTCTGTCGGGGTGGACGCTTACGGCAGCACTCTTCACTTCGGCCCCGACTACTTCAACAACGGCTGGTCACGTGCCCACCAGTCCTGGTAGGTCCGACTTGTTCGCGATCTGACAATCAAAATAGGTCATTTATAACCAGGAGGTTAAGAAGGACAATAATGTTGTCCTCATACAACAGGCGTGTTGGTGGCGATAGCATGTGTGAGCCCATTCCCATAGTGCCGCCTATCGTCATCTTCCCGAGGCAAGGGAGTTAACTGACTTTAAAAGTCCAGTTTACACCCTTGCCGAACTAGGCTGGAACTCCTGGACTCGATCGTAGCACCACCAGTGGCTGTAAAGAGAATACTACACTCATTCGCGTTATAGATACTATTTTTACGAAACGAGTCGACTTACTGTGGTATCTGACCGAGCGAAAGCGATGACATGCATCAACAAAGTCAGCGAGTCTGACCACCCGATCCCGTAAGTCGCCTCTTACCGAAGTTAGTTGGAACACAGGACAACATTTTAGCAAGAATTAATACGCAAATTCCCACCACTGGAGGACATAGCTGTAAGTCAAAGCACCATGCGTGGATAATTGAATATGCTTTCTTTTACACATTATATAACATTACTACACATAATATTGACAGTTGCAGTTATGCACAATACCGTGAGAGAGTTGAACACTACTTTAAACAGTATTTCAGTTATATCACGTCGTATCAGACTGATGGATAAAAACCCGATTTTGTTCAGGCCTTAACAACGGGTGTTCGCGAAAAGGTGAGCGTATCCTCCCACACCGTCACCGTCACAAACACCTGCGAGGACAAGTCAATTGTTCACCTGTACAAAACACGGAAACAAAGATTCCAGTCCTCGCTATTACCGAGCATGTAAAGCACTTTGTCCGTGAAAAACATGGACGTGTATCAATAATATGTTCCTACAGGTAATACTTGTCATTCATTTGGCAAACTGTATTGACTCAGAGCATTATTGTTAATCAGAACGTTTAGAGCATTATTGTTAATCAGAACGTTTAGGCTCTGGCATCGGCATGCAGTTGAACTCACCACCCATCCCATTATTGATAATGCTTCTTGAAGAGCTATGAAAATAGTAGCTGCCAAAACGCATTTTTACACTTTATCTTTCAATGTTAGGCATGTTAGGCTTCTTTCATAACTCAGGGGGCGAGCGGGTAGCCTAGTGGTTAAGGCGTCCGCTCGTCACGCCGAAGACCCGGGTTTAATTCCCGACATGGTTACAATGTGACAAGCCCATTTCTAGTGTCCCCCGCCGTGATATGGCTGGAATATTGCTAAAAACGGCGTAAAACCATATACTCACTCATAAGTTTTAGTTGCACGGAATACTATGGAATCCTGGAAGGGACATTGTCGTGTTGTCGCATTGTCACCCTTTCAAAAACAAGCATAACATGTCAAAATTAGCCAAAAGTAACACAATGCGACATTTTGGCCATTTGTCGAATTACTGTCGATCTTTGAATAATCTTTTATTTTTTTACCAAAGGACGACAATGCGACAAAGTGACATTTTTCAAGGTCAAAATATGGTTCGTTGTCGCATTGTCGCCCCATAAAAAAATGTGTAAAACATGCGTTAAGTTCAGTTAATGTTTTAGTTAGGAAGCGGTAACCAACTTATATCTACCGTAGAAGTTCTACCTGATACGTCCTGAAAACACAAGTCCGTCCACGGGCCCATAACGTTTTATTGTGAGCTCTTCTCTATAGGTGCTTAGTGTTTTCACTCCCAGTAACAAACTGTCCCGCCCGCGCTGGTTTACATGCATACAGCTTCTAAAACAGTGTTGATCATATTCTTAAAGAAAAAGACCCTAAGGCCTACCACAAGCTTCAGTCTCCATTCTTAACCAAGATATACCTACTTCTCTTACTTGCAAATTATTCAAAACATTAATCGAGCCAGTAATCCTATATAATAGTGAAATCTGGGGGAAAGAATCAATGCTCCTGCACAACTCTGATTCATTCATTGATTCTCGAGAAACTGCACCTCAGATATTGTAAAAACAAGACTGAAGTATTTGCAAAGCATGTTTACCGCCAACTGTGCGTCGACAGATATTTTGCAAATCTTTTCATGTTCTTATTGAAAGTGCTCAAGTGATTTGATGCACTTGGGAAGGTGAGGCCTGCACACCTGTACACGCACAATGACTGCAGTCGTGGTGAATAGGTAACACTGCACATTAACTGACATGCATGGTTGGCTACCTGTTGCGTCGGTATGTTGCTGACAGTTTCCAAGGTTCCGGTTCAATGTTTCGTTATGCATCCCGCTTCTCCAATACAATAAACCTATCCTGCCTTTAGATTGCCGATTGTATACACGATAACACCATCGGGACGTGGGAAGAAATCTGGAATGTGATGCATATGGCTTCAGCAAGTTATATAATTATCTAACTTAAAATATAGATATAAGCAGCAATGGCAGGTTCCAAGTGGTGTGCGTACAAACGTACGCAAACATATTCGGCCATATTCAACTAAATGTATAGAAAATATGAAGTTTAATTTCTAATCGCTGGAATGCGTTCAATAATAGTTTTTGTTTGATGGTTTGTTGTTAAACGCCGCATGCAGCATTATTCCAGCTACATGACGGTGGTTTGTAAATAATCGAGTCATGACAAGACAATCCAGTTATTGACACCAAGAGCATCGACCTACGCAATTGGGATACGATGACATGCCTCATCCATGTCAGTGAGCCTGTTCCTGTTAGTCGCCTCTTACAAGCATGGGTTGCTGAAGGCCTATTCTAACCCGGATCTTCACGGGTACATTTTGAATAATGAACAATGAAATTCTGTATATGTTCAGAATACGTATGTATAAGTATAGATAATATATCAGTACAAGCCAATTAAATGGGTTCGATTGCATATGGTTCAATGATGACCTCTTTTTCAAGTCCATAGTTCAATACATCTACTTAAAAGATAAAACATTTATCTAAATAGTAAATTAGCAGGTTTAAGATGTACACTTCCGACATTTTTCGGAGAGTTTTTTCGTTGAGAGTGAATGAGTGAGTGAGTTGGGTTTAACGCCGCTTTTAACAGTATTCCAGTCATATCACGGCGTGTCAGCTTAATGTGGGAAGAAAGCCCGAAGTGATGCAGGTCTCAGACGTTTACCACTTCGGTGAAACACACGAGCACGGGTATGGTGCTGACAAACCTAGAAACATAATCGGGGCCAACCGGGATTCGAACCCACAATCATAGGTTTCTGGCGTGCCTAAGGGACGCAACTGTGCACAACGAATCGCGGCGCCTTAGACGACTGGGCCACCCGTGCCCCCTTGTCGTTGAGAGAGAGAGAGAAGTAGTGACAGTAGTGATTGGTATCTGGTGGGTGCAAACAGGTGTCGAGTCGCTGTCTCAGATGGCTCAAATTACATGACTCTAAAGATCACGACGGCGATACAGACCTGGTCCCTGAACCATATATATCAATTTCCCTTCCGCGCAGTCCTTACTGCAATTCTTTAATCCCAAATGAGATAAGGCCTAGATGTTCACCGTGAAGTACAACAATCCAAAAGATCCCATGCTAGCCTACATTTCTTCAGATTTCTTCAGACAGACTCTCCATGTTTCTATCGATATATATCAAAATACAATTACATTTTTTAGTATAAATTCAGAGTGTCTATGAGTTTTTGTGTGTTATTCTTTTTGCGCAGAACACATATATACTGATTAATTAACGTTGTAATACACATGTTTTGCAAATCCCGCAATCGACCGAAATCAGCATTACAGTTTACGAATCGGATTTCGATTTCGTTGTGCGATTTCGAGTGGACTATGCATAGACTCGCCAGTAGAGCCACAATGAGTTGGGTTTAACGCCGCTTTTAACAGTATTCCAGTTATATCACGGCGTGTCAGCTTAATGTGGGAGGAAAGCCCGAAGTGATGCAGGTCTCAGACGTTTACCACTTCGGTGAAACCCACGAGCACGGGTATGGTGCTGACAAACCTAGAAACATAATTGGGGCGAACCGGGATTCGAACCCACAATCATAGGTTTCTGGCGTGCCCAAGGGACGCAACTCTGCACAGCGAATCGCGGCGCCTTAGACGACTGGGCCACCCGTGCCCCCGGTTATATAATGTATCATGTTGGGTTATAAACTGCGTCATGTTTGGTTATATACCACATCGTGTTCAGTTATATCCGATATCGTGTTGAGTTATATAGAATACCGTTGAAGAACGTGTTAAACCATTACTGAGTTAATAAATATAAAGTATAACCCTGTTGTCTCGAACTCGGATGTGTCGACTCCCCTGTTGTGGAGAACTCACATTCGGGTCGCGACCGATTATTATTGCTATTACTATTTTTACCCAAATGTCTCCAACTGAATTATCGAACACCTGATTGACGCGAACTCAATTTATAGTCCAAGGAGTTACAAACAATATAACATTTAACCGGATACGCCGAACTCAAAATTTGAGAAACAACTCAACTTCCCGCAAATTTGAATTTGCATCAAGTATAAAGACCTGAAGAAGATATAGCGTGAAACATAAAAGGCAGGACAACGTTGATTGGTCAGAAAGAAATAAGATTGAGTCGGATGTGTCGAGCCCCGGATACATCAAACTATTTCTCTGGTTCCTGGTTCCCAGGTGTTCGAAACAATGCGCCTCGACTGTATATAACACTACATTGTAATTGAACGAGTGAATGTCATTGCCAGTGCAATGCTGCTTCAGCTGTATCCATATCTCTCAAAGTACAGTAAACTACGTTTATAACGATCACGCTTATAACGAACTGACCGATATAACGAACTTATGTTTTAGTCCCGGCCATTTGTTGTATATATGCTGTATATATACTTATAACGAACTACGGTTATTACGAACCCCTTTGAGTTCGTTATAACCGTAGTTTACTGTACTCTCAAAGTTGATCATGCAAATCATATTTCAGATTCTCGTTTGACGGGAGACAGACGCTGCGTGTGACCCCCAGGGAGACGGGCTTCTGGGGGTTCGGGGAGTTCAACAAGACAGGCTATGAAAACCCATGGAAAGATGCCCCC